CCCACCTGTACAGAGCACCCCCAGGAAGGTCACAGCCTCCGCATCGCACCTGCACGGAGCACCCCCATCCCACCTGCACAGAGCACCCCCAGGAAGGTCACAGCCCCCCCATCGCACCTGCACAGAGCACCCCCAGGAAGGTCACAGCTCCCCCATCACACCTGCACAGAGCACCCCCAGGCGAGTCACAGCCCCCCATCGCACCTGCACAGCACCCCCAGGCGAGTCACAGCTCCCACATCCCACCTGCACAGAGCACCCCCAGGAAGGTCACAGCCCCCCCATCCCACCTGCACAGAGCACCCCCAGGAAGGTCACAGCCCCCCCATCCCACCTGCACAGAGCCAGGTGCTGCTGCCATTTGCCCAGGAAGCTCACTTCCAGTCTCTTTGCTGCCTCAGAAAGGCCTTGGCTGGATGCAGGGGCAGGAAGTGGGCTCCAGCTCCCAAAAGCATCGTCCACTGTAGCCCCTGCTGCCCCAGGCCAAGGCCATGCTCCAGCAGCAGGAAAGGGCTCATGGCAGGGGAGGTCTCAGCTCTGTGCTGAGGAGGGGAGGGTTCTGTGGAATCTCCCATTGGCCAGCTGGGTACTGAGGTGCTGTCAACCTCAGAGGGCTGGCAAGGTGGATGTGGTTTGAAGAAAGGTCCTACAGGCCTTGTTTCTTAAAGATGAGGTGAGTGGCCGCCCAGGCTCAGGTCAGTGGACAGAGGTGCCACCGCCAACACGCTTGACTTGGGAAGATTCAGCCTTTCCTGGCGCCCTCCACGGCTCTCCCTGGACCTCTGCCCTCAGCCCCAGGCTGCCTGAGCCCATAAAGCCCTCAGCGCCTGCAGGCCATTTTCCGACTGTGGAGCAGGAGTGGAAGGGGGCTTCTGAGTCCTGTGGAGTTGCTCCCACCCCCCACCCGGGGCCACATCTGCCTGTAGCTGGGACTCAGTCCCTAGACCTGCATGTTTTCCACTTTGCAACTTGGTGAATACCATTTGGAATTCATAGAAATTGTATTTGACTTCTATTCGGACAGTAGAGACAGGAAATTTGCAGAATGCTGCAGGAACTTGCTGGTTGTTCCTCGGGGTAGCTCCAGATGCTCTCAGCCTTTTGTTCCCTGCAGACAACACCCCACACCCGCCGTGCTCTGCACTGTGTGGAGGGGCAGGGAGCAGGTTTTGCAGCCTCTCCTCTCAGAGGGGCCTTTCTCAGGGGCGCACAGCTCCAGGTCAGCCCAGGCCTGGGGTAGGAGGGGCAGGCAGGCAGTGCGTGACCCCCCTGCAGGACCCACTTCTGTGGCGCCTGACAGTGCAGGTGCCTGCGGCGTGTGTGCACATCAGGGACCCGCTCAACTGCTCTCAGACTGTGGTGTCGCTGGGCTGGAATGGAGAGCAGGCATTGTTGAGCCGCAGGCTGTGGCACACGGGGGTCTCCCTCCGTGGGTGGGGCTTTCCTTCTATCCCAGAAGCCCCTGGAGTGGGCAGTGTCTCGGACCTGACAGACATGCAGGTTTGCTGGGCTCCGGAGCTTGGGTGGTGTCTGGTACGTGTTGTGGGCCTTGTGGATGCTCGTTCTGCAGGTGCTTGTTTCACAGTGGAGAAATTGGCATCCTGGGAGATCTGGTTTCATACTGGACTTTTGTTGTGTCAGGACAAGTACAGCGTCTTGTTTCGGGACTGGGTGAGAAGTCGCTGCTTCCTGGGAGCAAGCTCTTCCTGAGTCAGGGCAGAGCGAGGTCCCTGTGGTGGCTCCAGGCACCAAAATTCACCAGGAGGTTGGCAACACCTTCCATGCGAATTTTTGGGAGCCCTGTAAAGCTGACCTGGCCACGTGAGGGAAGCCAACTCAGTCTTTCTTCACCAAAGCTCAGAGCAGAAGCAGAAGGAGGGCCTGGTGAGGAGCGGGAGGGATGTGGCCCTGACCCTTAGGCTCGGGCCCTGGAGCCCACCCAGGAAGTCACTGGGGCACTGAGTCCTGCCCAGTCTGCACACACAGGGTGTGGGCTGCACCTGAGATGGCTGCCCTGCAGGAGCGGGACACGTTCTGTTTGCCATAGAAAGCAGCTCTTCACTGCCCCTCAGAGGGGGTGCAGCGTGGTCTCCTGGCCTGCCACTCTAAAGCCTGACTTCTGAGGAACACCTTTGCCTCTGCCTGTTCCCCTGACACACGCCTCCTAGGATCCTTAGATAATTTAAGAGCATGGTAACATCTGCATTTTGGGATCTGAACATACCACAGCCCCAACACCACTCCACCTCCTCCCTCCGGAGTCCCAACACCGCCCCAGCTCCTCCCTCCGCAGCCCCAACTCCGCCCCAGCTCCTCCCTCCGCAGCCCCAACACCGCCCCAGCTCCTCCCTCCGCACCCCCAACTCCGCCCCAGCTCCTCCCTCCGCACCCCCAACTCCGCCCCAGCTCCTCCCTCCGCACCCCCAACTCCGCCCCAGCTCCTCCCTCCGCAGCCCCAACACCGCCCCAGCTCCCTGTGTCCACCCCTAGCGGCCACATGCAGCAGAGTGGGGCCCACTCGCTTTTGACTTCTGATGGTCGGTGGAGTAAGGAGATGCCTTATGCTCCCAGGAGTCTCCTGTGCTGTGCGCTGCTTTGCAAAGTCTGTTATCTCAGGGGTTCTGCTTTCCTCATGTTCTCAGGGGGCTTCATGTCTCCAAAACATTAACTCCCCTGCTCTGGGTGACGGAGAGAACAGGCCTCTGAATGTGCATAGCTAGGTCTTGGGGTTCAGGGCCCTGCAGAGGTTCTCAGCTGCTTTTCCAGGCAACTGTGGGCAGAGCAGCCGCTCGCTGAGCGTGGGCCCCCTCCCGGAGAGAGGAGGACTTGAGGGCTATCTGTTGGGGAGCTGGGGTTTCTCCGGCAGCTTCGCCACCTCTTTCCTAGAGGGAGGCAGCCGTGGGTCTGCTTCTGTTGTGTAGAGGTGGCTATGAGAAGCAGGCCTGGGGAGGGCTGGTCCCCGGGCAGCATGCAGGGTGCAGGGAAAGCATGGGGTGCGCGCATAGAGACCCACGGCCAAGCTCGCTGCTGAGGTGTGGCTACGCCAGTGATGGCTGTGGGCTGGGGCTCACTGGCCGGTGGCGAGGCCACCTCCCCCACCACTGTGTTTGCCGCGTTATATGAGGGGCTGGTGCCAGAGCTCAAGGGCTGTCTCAGATCTATGCACTGAGGACTGTTTACAGACTCGCTGGTGGTGGCAATGGCAGCCTGCAGTACTTGGGGTTTTGCCCGTGAATGTGACGCAGGTCGATGTGGCCAGGTGTGTGCCCTCCTGCAGGCTTGTCCCATAGGACATACGAATCCGCATTCTCAGCATGCCCCAGACCTAGTTCCTAGGAAGTCAGCCTCAGATACCTTGGAAAGAGCTAGGGTGGGTGGGCAGTGTCTTCTGAGGAAAGCGACGGGCACATTCATGGGGACTGTGGTGGTGAACAGCAAGGGAGTTGTGCCCTGGGAGCTGAGCCAAGAGACCAGTTAAGACCCTTCTGTGTTCCAGTGACCGGGCAGGTGTGGGGTCCAGTTAGCCCGTTGTCACAGACGTCACCCACCTCTCTAGGGTCAAACACCAGCTGAGGGAGAAGTTAAGTCCTGAAGAGAGAGGCTTCTTGGATATGGTGAACGGAAGGGAAAGGAGGTGCCTCAGAGGAGAGCTTCAGAGGCCCATATCTCCCTGGTGGCACTTCTTCCCCAAGTCAGGCCTTGGCAGAGCCTTGCCTCTGTGCTGCACCTCTGCAGTTGGCACCCCATGACCTACCCCAGAACCCACAGGGCAGCTGGAGGAGGATTCAGAGGTGTCTGGCCCCTGATTTCCATCCACAGGAGGGCACTGGTCAGGCAGAGGAGGAGGCAGCTTCTGTGCCCCTGACTCTTAGTGCTTGGGGTCTTCTCTTCCCCGCCCCTGCCTCCTGCCTCTTTTAGAAGACACAGCGCGTGAGTTGTGTTAGACGCTGGCCGAGTTCTCTCACGGGTCAGACGAGTGCAGGGTGTGCTTGTTACGAGGAGGCTGAGGTGGAACAGCCCAGCTCTCACACCGTGTCTTGTTAGTGCTCTGTGTTGATGCCTTTAGATGCCTCCAGCCCAGTCCCTGTTGTGGTGCTGCAAGGCTGGTACGCTCCTCGAAGCACCATGGCATGAGATGGAGGTTCCTAGAAGCAAGAAGAAAGGTACAGTACTGACCAGTTGGCCTTGATTTACTGATGTGTTTTAAACTGTGTCTGCCATTTTATATCTGCACTGTTTGGAGGAGGGACGGGGAAGGTGGAGTTTAATTACAGGCACGTGTTTTAACAGAGACCTGTCCTGTGTGAGCCAGGTCACCGGTGCTAAGCTGTCCCACCGCATTCATGTGTGGTACGAGGTCTGGGGAGGCCCAGGAGAGGTGCCTGGAGTGAGTGAATGCTCGGTGGAGGTCCAGGCTTAGCGGACTTGAGGGGCTGGTAACGAGGTGTTTAAATGGTCTCACAGTCACTGCTGAGAGGTGAGGTGGGTGGCACCAATGCTCCCAGCACCGCTGTGCTTTCCCCACTCACAGACCTTCCTTTCTGCTCTGTCAGCTGTCAGGTGGACGCAGGGGGCTCCGTAACATTAGGTAAGGACCTGGGTTTGGAGGACGCCGTGGCATGAAATCTCTCCTCCCTCTCTCCCTCGCCCGCCTCACAGAGAAGCAGGGCCCTGAGCGGAAGAGGATTAAGAAGGAGCCTGTCACCCGGAAGGCCGGGCTGCTCTTTGGCATGGGGCTGTCTGGAATCCGAGCTGGCTACCCCCTCTCCGAGCGCCAGCAGGTGGCCCTTCTCATGCAGATGACAGCTGAGGAGTCTGCCAACAGCCCAGGTGAGCCCAGCCTGGGGGTGGTCCCTGGCGCAGGGAAGGGGCTCTGCCTGGTTGCAGCCTCGTGGCTGTGCTGAGGATAAGCCCTGTGCAAAGGGACCTCGTGACGGTGGCCTGGGCTCTTGAGGATTTGAGAAAGCAGGGCCACCCACAGTAACGCCCACCTGTCCCCTCCTTGGCCTGCAGTGGACACAACACCAAAGCACCCCTCCCAGTCTACAGTGTGTCAGAAAGGAACGCCCAACTCTGCCTCAAAAACCAAAGATAAAGTGAACAAGAGAAACGAGCGTGGAGAGACCCGCCTGCACCGAGCGGCCATCCGCGGGGACGCCCGGCGCATCAAAGAGCTCATCAGCGAGGGGGCGGACGTCAACGTCAAGGACTTCGCAGGTGGGCGCCCTGTGCCTGGCAGGGGCCAGAGGGCCCCACTGGAGCCCTGAGCCTCCCATTGGGTCGGATGGGCTGTGCCCTCGTGGGCTGTGCATCTGCTCTGCAGGGCCCGGGGTGTTCACAGCCACACTCACTCCAGTGGGGTTCGCTGTTGCTGAGAAGAAATCAGTGTTTCTTGGAAAGTATTTCAAAGTAAACTTGTTTGCTGGGTTTTATTATTATTTTTATTTTTAGACAAGGTCTCGCTCTGTTGCTCAGGCTGGAGTGCAGTGGCGTGATCACGGCTCACTGAAACGTTGAACTCCTGGGCTCAAGCGATGTTCCCAACTCAGCCTTCCGAGTGCAGGCGCACGCCACCACGCCTGGCTAACTTTTTTATTTTTTGTAGAGACAGGGTCTTGCTAAGTTGCCCAGGCTGTTTTGAACTCATGGCCTCAAGAAATCCTCACGCCTTGGCTTCCCAAAGTGCTGGGATTACAGCTGTGAGCCCCCATGCCTGGCCTATTTTTAAGAGAACTGAGGAATTTTAAATCGTGCTCTGCTGTGTTCCATAAACCTCACGTCCAGGCCCCTGGAGGGGCCGGTCCCTGGTGTGTCTAGCAAGTGGCTGCATTCTGCAGCAGAGGGTGCCCCCGAGCCGGGAGCGCGGCTGGGTCCACACCCTGGACTAGACTCCCTCCCTTCACGGGGCTGGGGCCTGGGGTTTGCCTTGGACCCGGACAGAACTGAGTCTCCCCAGACCTGACACAGCCCGGGGGCTTAAAGGCCTGTGATTAGAGTTTAATGTCCCTTCTTTCCATAAATGCCCCATCAAACCATGGGTGGTCCACATGTCCCAGAACTATCTGTTCCCAGTGTAAGGAGAACAGATGAACGAAATCGTCTGGGTAGAAGTCTTCTAGATTTCTCCCACTGCCCTGGTTTATAGCTGTCTGACCCAAACCTAATTTAGCACCCTTTTTTTTTAAAGCATTTTTCTAAAAGAAACTTCTCCAGAGCACTGCCGTGTGCTTCCCATGGGGCTGAGCTCCATTTCCACCGCTGCATGCGGCCACACCATCCGATGGTGGGCTCCAAGCTCCCCAGGCAGAAGCTGCCGGCCGGGGCGGCCTTCATCATGCAGCCCGAGCCTGGGCGCCTCTGGAGCTCCTGCTGCAGCAGCTCTTCAGCCTTCAGGAGGCGCTCTCAGCCTCAGTTTCCCTGTTTCCGACACTGGAGGCTTCCCTTCCTTGTTTTGCAAAGGCACATACGCCTCCAGATCAGTGAGGACGAGGCTGCTGTTTACGGCACTTGTGTTCACTGGTCTCCTACCCCTTTAGGGCGATTGCTGCAGGTCAGCCCTGTGGGTTGTTAGTCTGTGGGGTTAACAAGCTAGATACGGATTGTGCTAAGGGTGCCACAGTAAAGAGAAGCGAGGGGTTCTCTGGGCTGGCACCTGCTTCCTAAACTGCAGCCCTCACGACAGGGCAGCTCCCCACCTGGCTTGTCCCTGCCCCTTAGCCCATCCTCAGGGTGCTGCCTCCAGAGACAGGAGGGGAGTTCCCAGGATTAAATCACGTATGTCCTGAGTGTCTGTTTCCAGGCTGGACGGCGCTGCACGAGGCCTGTAACCGGGGCTACTATGACGTTGCGAAGCAGCTGCTGGCCGCAGGTGCGGAGGTGAACACCAAGGGCCTGGATGACGACACGCCTTTGCACGACGCTGCCAACAACGGGCACTACAAGGTTGGCATCCCCCGTCCTTCACACATCCGGCCTGTCCTGGCATCTGGGTGGTTCTGTAGCTCTTTGTCCCCGTAGCTAGCCGGTTTCATGGTGTGGGGCACCGGAAAGCGAGTTTTTGCCTTGCCCACCCTGAAGGCCGAGCTGTGCCCTCTGTCTGCCCCCAGCTTTCCCCTCCGGGGTCAGCACCTGGACGGCCTCTCACAGGTTTCGCAGCACCTGCCATCTATGAAAATGCTCGTATCCGCCAGCCGTGTAGGTCTGGTTGGATTGGAGCAGGTGAAGGATTACACCAAGTGGAAGGAGGCCTGCAGGAGTTGCTGCCGGTCCCCGTCACCACTGTGGGGCTCTTAGACCTGCAAGGCAGACCCACCCTCGTCTGGAATGAGGTAACACCAAGAGGTGTGGCCAGTGCACAGAACCATAGACTCAAGATTTAGAAAGTGGCCACTGTGGCCGGCCCAGGAGCAGTGGGCACTGAGAGGTCTTAGCCTCTGTGGGAGCCGAGAGAGGTTGTTGTGCCTGACAGCCTCGTCCTGCAGGAAAGCAGGGGTGCTGCCTGGAGATGGGGCGGGTCTCACCGACGTCATCACCAGAGCTCTGTGGAGAGCCCCTGGTTGCAGGCAGGACAGCAAGGCTGGGGGGTCACACGGGGCCACATCTGCCCGTGCCCGTCGTGCTCCTCTGCAGCAGGCCCCACCTGGCCATTGCGGGAGGTCCCGGAGCCCACAGCACCTTGGCCTTAAAGAGCAGACTTGAGAAACAGCTCATTCAGGTGGGGTGGGGGGTAGATTGAAGACTCTGAGACGAGCAGGGAACTTAGAACACTGAGTCCATATTTGAGTCCATATTTGATGTTAAAACGTGGCCGTTAAACTCTTGGGTAAGATGATGAGTGGCGTTATGGTTTACCCTGTTTCTTTTTTATGGGCCCTTCCAGAGACATGAACTGGAAAAGGCTCTGCAGTGTCTGGGACTCGCTCATTACTGCGGGGGGGGGCCGGTGTGAGGGGAATGGCGCTGGGGGCGGTGTTGGGGCTGGGGCATCCGATGCAGCTTCATACTTCTGTAATTACCACTTTTAAATTTTTTTATTATGAAAAATGTCAAGGATTTACGGTGAGGTAGGCAGGATAATGGCCCCCAAGATGCCCGTGTTGTGACCCCAGACCTTGTGAGTGCCTCACATGGGGAAATCGTCCTAGGCCATCTTGCAGGTCCTGGGCAGTCCCATGGGCCCTAAAGCCTGTGAGCCTTTCCTGCTGAGTCTGAGAGATCCCAGAAGCAGGAGAGGTTAGAACCCGAGGAGGGCCACACCTGTGCTGCTGGCCTTAGAGGAGGGCCGAGGAGTGTGGCGGCCCCTAGCAGCTGGGACTGGGGACCTCCGTCCCGGCCCTGCAAGAAACTGAATTCTGCCAGCAGCCCCCATGATGGAGGAAAGGAAGGACCCCGCCCTGCCAGCAGCTTGACCTCTGACCTCCAGAATTGTAAGCCTGAGGTTTTGTGTGGTCACCATAGAAAACTCACATAAGAACTCTGTGCTGACTAAACAATAGAACATGTCATACACGAACTGGAAATTGATTCTGTGGGCGACAAGAGTCTATAGTAAACGTTATTACAGATTCTTTGAATGCGCTACTCTCAGACTGGACTAAAGTTGGGATTATATTTAATTTGTACGTGAGTTCAGTGCGTTGCTGTTCTGGGCATAGGAAATTCAGGTTGCGGGTGATGAGCAGCTGGACAGAGCTGTGGACGGAGCTGTGGAAGTGTCACCATGGCTGTTTCTGTCATCCGTGTGACTGCCCTTACCCTTGTAAAATCAAGCAAGGGAGAGATTATTTTATTTTCTAATGTAAATGAAAATAAAAAATAAAGCAGCTTGCAGAAACTTGGTCTTTGTTTCCTCTATTCTGTCCCCCCTGCCCCTCCATAACACTCTTCTCCCTGACCTCCTGCCTGAGCCCTCCACGGCCACTCCGCACCACTCTGCTGAGGAGCTCGCTGTTGGCGGGAGGGGAGCGCCTCCGTGAGGACATCCCCGGGAAGTCATCTCCTCGCGGCAACAGAGAAGTGGTGGAAAAAAATCCAAAGGAGGCAGAGCCCTTCTGAAGGAAAGCACAGGAGGGGTGCGGGAGCCCCTGCGGCTGCAGCCCTTCCCACAGAGGAGCCACGGCCTCGCCCATCGCACCCGGAGCCTCGCCAGGCAGTCCCTGTGCGCTCGGCTCCCACACCCTCAGACTGAGGGGCCGCTCTCGGGTCGAATCCCAGGGTTCTTGGAAGGGGCTGCCGTGTTGTGCGGAACGGTAGAGGCGTGTGCTTCTCCAGCAGTCCTTGACGCGGGTGTTCCTGTCTTGTAGGTGGTGAAACTGCTGCTGCGGTACGGCGGGAACCCGCAGCAGAGCAACAGGAAAGGCGAGACGCCGCTGAAAGTGGCCAACTCCCCCACGATGGTGAACCTCCTGTTAGGCAAAGGCACTTACACTTCCAGCGAGGAGAGCTCGACGGGTAAGTCACGGCCACTGAGCTGCTTGTTCTCTATGCAGGGATGGCAGAAGTGCCTTGTGGTGTTGGCGCAGCGTTGCCCCTCTGATGAGCTCCTCCTCGGATGCTGGGGGCTTTACAGGAGCTTCTGGACTGCGGGAGACCCCGCCCAGGTGTGTCGCTGCCGAGAAGCCTGCAGTCTTGCTTCTAAGATGCCAGCCCTGTCTGGTTTCCTCCTGCCTGCGGCTGGTTTCCATGAGTCAAGCAAAGTCTCTGCAGAGGCAGGGTGGGAGCTTGCCACAGGGCACCTCCGCAGAGCCTGCCCGCTCTGCCATTCTGGGGAGAGCTGTTTTGAGCCTGCCTGTGACCTCTCCTTCCTGCCTCCAACAGAGAGCTCAGAAGAGGAAGACGCCCCGTCCTTCGCACCTTCCAGTTCAGTCGACGGCAACAACACGGACTCCGAGTTCGAAAAAGGCCTCAAGCACAAGGCCAAGAACCCGGAGCCGCAGAAGGCCACAGCCCCCGTCAAGGATGAGTATGAGTTTGACGAGGACGATGAGCAGGACAGGGTTCCTCCGGTGGACGACAAGCACCTGTTGAAAAAGGACTACAGAAAAGAAACGAAATCCAATAGTTTTATCTCTATACCCAAAATGGAGGTTAAAAGTTACACTAAAAATAACACGATTGCACCAAAGAAAGCGTCCCATCGTATCCTGTCAGACACGTCGGACGAGGAGGACGCGAGTGTCACCGTGGGGACAGGCGAGAAGCTGAGACTCTCGGCACATACGATATTGCCTGGTAGTAAGACACGAGAGCCTTCTAATGCCAAGCAGCAGAAGGAAAAAAATAAAGTTAAAAAGAAGCGAAAGAAAGAAACAAAAGGCAGAGAGGTTCGCTTTGGAAAGCGGAATGACAAGTTCTGTTCCTCGGAGTCGGAGAGTGAGTCCTCAGAGAGTGGGGAGGACGACAGGGACTCCCTGGGGAGCTCCAGCTGCCTCAAGGGGTCCCCGCTGGTGCTGAAGGACCCCTCCCTGTTCAGCTCCCTGTCCGCCTCCTCCACCTCGTCCCACGGGAGCTCTGCCGCCCAGAAGCAGAACCCCAACCACACAGACCAGCACACCAAGCACTGGCGGACAGACAACTGGAAAACCATTTCTTCCCCAGCTTGGTCGGAGGTCAGTTCTTTATCAGACTCCACAAGGACGAGACTGACAAGCGAGTCTGACTGCTCCTCTGAGGGCTCCAGTGTGGAATCGCTGAAGCCAGTGAGGAAGAGGCAGGAGCACAGGAAGCGAGCCTCGCTGTCAGAGAAGAAGAGCCCCTTCCTCTCCAGCGCGGAGGGCGCCGTCCCCAAACTGGACAAGGAGGGGAAGGTTGTCAAAAAACATAAAACAAAACACAAACACAAAAACAAGGAGAAGGGACAGTGCCCCATCAGCCAGGAGCTGAAGCTGAAAAGTTTCACGTACGAGTACGAGGACTCCAAGCAGAAGTCGGATAAGGCTATACTTCTAGAGAATGATCTTTCCACTGAAAACAAGCTGAAAGTGTTAAAGCATGATCGTGACCACTTTAAAAAAGAAGAGAAACTCAGCAAAATGAAATTAGAAGAAAAAGAATGGCTCTTTAAAGATGAAAAATCACTGAAGAGAATCAAAGACATGAACAAAGACATCAGCAGGTCTTTCCGAGAAGAGAAAGACCGTTCGAGTAAAGCAGAAAAGGAGAAATCGCTAAAGGAAAAGTCTCCGAAAGAAGAAAAACTGAGACTGTACAAAGAGGAGAGAAAGAAGAAGTCAAAAGACCGGCCCTCAAAATTAGAGAAGAAGAATGATTTAAAAGAGGACAAAATTTCCAAAGAGAAGGAGAAGACTTTCAAAGAAGATAAAGAAAAACTCAAAAAAGAAAAGGTTTATAGGGAAGATTCTGCTTTTGACGAATATTGTAACAAAAATCAGTTTCTGGAGAACGAAGACACCAAATTTAGCCTTTCTGACGATCAGCGAGATCGGTGGTTTTCTGACTTGTCCGATTCATCCTTTGATTTCAAAGGGGAGGACAGCTGGGACTCGCCAGTGACAGACTACAGGGACATGAAGAGCGACTCTGTGGCCAAGCTCATCTTGGAGACGGTGAAGGAGGACAGCAAGGAAAGGAAGCGGGACACCCGGGCCCGGGAGAAGCGAGACTACAGGGAGCCCTTCTTCCGAAAGAAGGACAGGGACTATTTGGATAAAAACTCTGAGAAGAGGAAAGACCAGACTGAAAAGCATAAAAGTGTCCCCAGCTACCTTTCGGAAAAGGACAAGAAGAGGAGAGAGTCCGCAGAGGCAGGGCGGGACAGAAAGGACGCGCTGGAGAGCTGCAAGGAGCGCAGGGATGGCAGGGCCAAGCCGGAGGAGGCATACCGGGAGGAGCTGAAGGAGTGTGGCTGTGAGAGTGGCTTCAAGGACAAGCCCGACTGTGACTTTGGGAAGGGCCTGGAGCCATGGGAACGGCACCACCCAGCACGAGAGAAGGAGAAGAAGGATGGCCCCGATAAGGAAAGGAAGGAGAAAACAAAACCAGAAAAATACAAAGAGAAGTCCAGTGACAAGGACAAAAGTGAGAAATCGATCCTTGATAAGTGTCAGAAGGACAAAGAATTTGATAAATGTTTTAAAGAGAAAAAAGATACCAAGGAAAAACATAAAGACACACATGGCAAAGACAAAGAAAGGAAAGCGTCTCTCGACCAAGGGAAAGAGAAGAAGGAGAAGGCTTTCCCTGGGATCATCTCGGAAGACTTCTCTGAAAAAAAAGATGACAAGAAAGGCAAAGAGAAAAGCTGGTACATCGCAGACATCTTCACAGACGAGAGTGAAGACGACAGGGACAGCTACATAGGGAGCGGGTGCAAGACGGGAGAGGCCAGCGACTCACTGAGGATGGACGGCCTCCAGGAGAAGGAGGAGGGGCGGGAGGCCTGTGCCTCCGACAGACACAGGAAGGCTTCTGACAAGCAGCACCCCGAGAGGCAGAAGGACAAGGAACCCAAAGACAAGAGAAAGGACAGAGGAGCTGCCGACGGGGGGAGAGACAAAAAAGAGAAAGTCTTCGACAAGCACAAGGAGAAGAAGGATAAAGAGTCCACAGAAAAGTACAAGGACAGGAAGGACAGAGCCTCAGTGGACTCCACACAAGACAAGAAAAGTAAACAGAAGCTCCCTGAGAAGGCTGAAAAGAAGCACGCTGCCGAAGACAAGGCCAGAAGCAAACACAAAGAGAAGTCAGATAAAGAACATTCCAAGGAGAGGAAGTCCTCGAGAAGTGCCGACACGGAAAAAAGCCTGCTTGAAAAGTTGGAAGAAGAGGCTCTCCATGAGTACAGGGAAGACTCCAATGATAAAATCAGTGAGGTCTCCTCTGACAGCTTCACGGACCGAGGGCAGGAGCCGGGGCTGACTGCCTTCCTGGAGGTCTCCTTCACAGAGCCACCCGGAGAGGACAAGCCGAGGGAGAGCGCCTGCCTCCCTGAGAAGCTGAAAGAGAAGGAGAGGCACAGGCACTCCTCATCCTCGTCCAAGAAAAGCCACGACCGAGAGAGAGCCAAGAAAGAGAAGGCCGAGAAGAAAGAGAAGGGCGAAGATTACAAGGAGAGCGGTAGCAGGAAGGACTCCAGCCAGTACGAAAAGGACTTGGAGGCGGAGGCTTACGGAGTTTCCTACAACATGAAAGCTGACATAGAAGATGAGCTAGATAAAACCATTGAACTGTTTTCTACCGAAAAAAAAGATAAAAATGATTCCGAGAGAGAGCCTTCCAAGAAAATAGAAAAGGAACTAAAGCCTTACGGATCTAGTGCCATCAACATCCTAAAAGAGAAGAAGAAGAGAGAGAAACACAGGGAGAAATGGAGAGACGAGAAGGAGAGGCACCGAGACAGGCATGTGGACGGCCTCCTGCGGCACCACAGGGATGAGCAGAAGCCCGCCACCAGGGACAAGGACAGCCCGCCCCGCGCACTCAAAGAGAAGTCCAGGGACGAGGGCCCGAGGCTCGGCGACGCCAAACTGAAGGAGAAATTCAGGGACAGTGCAGAGAAGGAAAAGGGCGAGCCAGTGAAGATGAGCAACGGGAACGATAAGGTAACGCCATCCAGAGACCCAGGCAAGAAAGACGCCAGGCCCAGGGAGAAGCTCCTGGGGGACGGCGACCTGATGATGACCAGCTTTGAGAGGATGCTCTCCCAGAAGGACCTGGAGATCGAGGAGCGCCACAAGCGGCACAAGGAGAGGATGAAGCAGATGGAGAAGCTTAGGCACCGGTCCGGAGACCCCAAGCTCAAGGAGAAGGCGAAGCTGGCAGACGACGGGCGGAAGAAGGGTCTAGACATTCCTGCCAAGAAACCGCCCGGCCTGGACCCTCCGTTTAAAGACAAAAAGCTCAAAGAGTCGACTCCTATTCCACCTGCTGCCGAAAATAAGCTACACCCAGGATCAGGTGCAGACTCCAAAGACTGGCTCGCAGGCCCTCACATAAAGGAGGTCCTGCCTGCGTCTCCCAGGCCTGACCAGAGCCGGCCGACTGGCGTGCCCACCCCTACGTCGGTGCTGTCCTGCCCCAGCTACGAGGAGGTGATGCACACGCCCAGGACCCCGTCCTGCAGTGCCGATGACTACGCGGACCTCGTGTTTGACTGCACCGACTCCCAGCACTCCACACCCCTGCCCACCGCTCCCACCAGCGCCTGCTCCCCGTCCTTTTTCGACAGGTTCTCCGTGGCTTCCACTGGGCTTTCGGAAAACGCCAGCCAGGCTCCTGCAAGGCCTCTCTCCACAAACCTTTACCGCTCGGTCTCTGTCGACATTAGGAGGACCCCTGAGGAGGAATTCAGCGTCGGAGACAAGCTTTTCAGGCAGCAGAGCGTTCCTGCTGCCTCCAGCTACGACTCTCCCGTGCCACACTCGATGGAAGACAGGGCGCCCCTGCCCCCAGTTCCCGCGGAGAAGTTTGCCTGCTTGTCCCCAGGGTACTACTCCCCAGACTATGGCCTCCCCTCGCCCAAAGTCGATGCTCTGCACTGCCCGCCGGCCGCCGTTGTCACCGTCACCCCCTCTCCAGAGGGCGTCTTCTCAAGTTTACAAGCAAAGCCTTCCCCTTCCCCCAGAGCTGAGCTGCTGGTTCCTTCCCTGGAAGGGGCCCTTCCCCCGGACCTGGACGCCACCGAGGACCAGCAGGCCACAGCTGCCATCATCCCTCCGGAGCCCAGCTACCTGGAGACGCTGGACGAGGGTCCGTTCAGCGCCGTCATCACCGAGGAGCCTGTCGAGTGGGCTCACCCCACTGAGCAGGCCCTTGCCTCTAGCCTGATCGGGAGCGCCTCCGAAAACCCTGTCAGCTGGCCTGTGGGCTCAGACCTGCTGCTGAAGTCTCCACAGAGCTTCCCCGAGTCCCCAAAACATTTCTGCCCCGCGGACGCCCTCCACTCTGCCGCCCCAGGACCCTTCAGCACCTCAGAGGCGCCGTACCCTGCCCCTCCCGCCTCTCCTGCCCCATATACTCTGCCCGTCGCTGAGCCAGGACTGGAGGACGTCAAAGACGGGGTGGAAGCCGTCCCCGCCACCATCGCCACCTCCGAGGCGGCTCCTTACGCCCCTCCCTCCGGGCTGGAGTCCTTCTTCAGCAACTGCAAGTCACTTCCGGAAGCTCCGCTGGACGTGGCCCCTGAGCCCGCCTGTGTAGCCACCGTGACTCAGGTGGAGGCTCTGGGGCCCCTGGAAAATAGCTTCCTGGACAGCGGCCACAGCCTGTCTAACCTCGGCCAGGTGGAGCCGGTGCCCTGGGCAGACGCCTTCGCCGGCCCCGAGGACGAGCTGGACCTGGGGCCCTTCTCCCTGCCGGAGCTTCCCTTGCAGACTAAAGATGTCCCAGATGTTGAAACAGAACCCGTAGAAGAAAGTCTTGCTCCTTCAGGAAAGATCCCTCCGGGGGCCCCCGTGGTCATAAACGGTGGGGATGTTTCTGCCTTAGTGGCTGAGGAGCCACCGGCGCTGCCTCCCGACCAGGCCTCCACCCAGCTCCCTGCAGAGCTCGAGCCTGAGCCCTCAGAGGAGCCAAAGCTGGACGTGGCTCTGGAAGCTACAGTGGAGGCAGAGGCGGTGCCAGAAGAGAGGGCCCCTGGGGATCTGGACTCTGGCGCGGAGCCGACGCCCGTCCCCCCGGAACAGCGCCCACTGGGGAGCGGAGACCAGGGGGCTGAGGCCGATGGCTCCCCCACCGCGTCCCTCTGTGCCCCTGACGGCCCCCCCATGGACACTGTGGCACAAGCCCAGGCTGTGGACAGCGCCGGCCCCCAGGACAACACTGAGGCCTCCCGTGCTGCCACCCCAGCCGAAGGCCCTCCCGGCGGCATCCAGCCAGAAGCCACAGAACCAGAACCCAAACCCACAGCCGAAGCCCCGAAGGCCCCCAGAGTGGAGGAGATCCCTCAGCGCATGACCAGGAACCGGGCGCAGATGCTCGCCAACCAGAGCAAGCAGGGCACGCCCCCCTCCGAGAAGGAGTGCACCTCCACCCCTGCCCCAGCCACCAGGGCCAAGGCCCGTGGCTCCGAGGAGGACGACGCCCAGGCCCAGCATCCGCGCAAACGCCGCTTTCAGCGCTCCACCCAGCAGCTGCAGCAGCAGCTGAACACGTCCACGCAGCAGACGCGGGAGGTGATCCAGCAGACGCTGGCCGCCATTGTGGACGCCATCAAGCTGGATGCCATCGAGCCCTACCACAGCGACAGGGCCAACCCCTACTTCGAATACCTGCAGATCAGGAAGAAGATCGAGGAGAAACGCAAGATCCTGTGCTGCATCACGCCGCAGGCGCCCCAGTGCTACGCAGAGTACGTCACCTACACGGGCTCCTACCTCCTGGACGGCAAGCCGCTCAGCAAGCTCCACATCCCCGTGGTGAGTGTGGGGCCCGGGAGAGCCACTGCGTTCTCTCTCTGGGATGCGTCCGGGGCCCCCTAGTCACGGTTTCCTGCAGCCCATCTTGTCCCGCTCCCGGCCCTTGACCTCTCTCGACCTTCTCCCACCTGAGTAGACACAGCCCCGTTTCTGCTGTGAAGGCAAAAGCCAGAAGCTGCCCAGCTGTTCTGCAGACCCAAGGCCCTTCCTCCAGCTGGTCCGTGCCAGGCCTTGGTCTCCTGGCCTCCCCCTCACCCCGGGTGCACCCCAGTCCCACTGGTGTGGGGTCCCCCTTCACGCCGCTCACTCTCCCTTCTCCACTCCCCATCCACCAGGACGGCCTCAGCAGAGCCACCCTCTCTGTCTCCAGCCCCTGCCCCCTTCTCCCTTGGACCCATGTGGGTTCCCTGAGCCCCCTTACCCACATGATGGATCCCTTCCCCCACCTCCTCCCTTGGGCTTCTAGGACAGCAGAGCTGCGGCTCCCTTGGCGCACGTTGGTCCTCGGCCCCCAGCCTCACCTTGTTCAACCCGACCCTGTCACCCCAGTTCCCCAAGCATCATCCCGACCTCTGCAGGCTCAGCTGCAACATCTCGAAGTCACCCCCACTCCCCCCGTCCCTTGCGCTGTGTCTGGGCCCAAAATAGATCCCTCCAAATGGGGCCCCGCTCTGAGCACATTCCCATGAGGGCTTCCCCCGCTGTGTACCCTCTGCCCTGGTCGCGGGGGCTGACTGGCTTCCCACCTCCTCCTACCACCGAGGTCTTTCCCAGCAGGCACAGGGGTTCCTCGTGGTAGAGCCAGAGTCCACCCATCTGCCCTCGGTGATGGCCTAAGCTGTGCACGGCCTCCCCTGCCCTCCTGTTAGGCCCCCCGGGGTCTGTCCAGCCCCCGCGTGCGGCATTCTGGCTCTTCCCTGGAGTCTCCCCCCAGACCCCGCGACTCCGCTCACACTGCCTGGTGGACTGTGTGGTTGATGCAGCCGTGTCACTTGAGTGTGTTGTGTTATGTGCAGAACGGGCTCTCCGTCACCAACAGCCATTTCCTTCTGGGGCTTCCTGGGCACTGAAACTCATAGGTGGCGCGAGGTACAGCCAGGGGCCCTCAGCACACGTTGGCTCTGTGGGCCCAGGCCACCTGAGAGCCCCTTGCCATGCTGGCCCTGACCTGGCTCAGCTACCCAGCACCCCTCTGATGAGGATGACGGGGTCTGCGGAGCTGGCCCTGAGGGTGAGGCTGGGTCTGTGCTACTGCCCGACATGTCAGGGGACACTGTGCAGAACCCAGGAGCGAGCGCCCGCGGGCCCCACCCTGCCGAGCTCTGAGCTCTGTTCCCAGGGAGCACAAGGGGCTCTGCACCCTGGGTCACCCCGGCGGTCATTCCCTTCTGGAGCCTGGCCCCAGCCATCCCCGGGGAGGCCCGTCCACAGGAGACAGACGGCAGCTGGGTCATGACATTCAGAAAAACCTGCCCCGGGATCTCTCCTCAGTAAGACCTTCTGACCTTCTGTACTTTTTGTTGTTTTGGCTGTTGTTTTCTCTTGTTTTAATTGATGATAACAGTAGTCTGACTGCTGTAGAAAATTTGGAAAATACAGGGAAAAAAGCCACTAGAATCCTGACAATCAGAGTAATCCTGGGAATGTTCTGTGCACCTCCCGCCTGGTCTTTTGAGTACCCCCTAGACTTAGACTCAGGCAGGCAGAGGTGCCAGGTGCTCCAGGTACAGCCTGAGGCCCAAGGCACAGCTCCTGCCATAGCTGCCGGTCCTGCGGCTGAGCCGGAGGAAGGGGCGGTGCCTGGTCCCGGCTGTGCGTTAGTTTGAGCTCGCATCAGTCCCACCTTGCAGGTGGCCCACAGAATCCCTGCCACCGACAGGCCCCGTCTCAGCAGAAACCTCACTGAGGGCTGGGCTTGTTGAGGCAGAGGGTGGATGTGGTGCCGAACAGTGAGGTCTGTGGACTAGAGAGACTTAGCTCAATGTTTTAATCAAAATTTGTTTTTTTAAAGACAAGTCTGCTCTGTTGCCCAGGCTGGAGTGCAGTGGCACGATCTCGGCTCACTGAAAGCTCCGCCTCCTGGGTTCAAGCAATTCTCCTGCCTCAGCCTCCCGAGTAGCTGGGATTACAGGTGCCCGTCACCATTTCCGGCTAATTTTTATCTTTTGTGTAGAGACGGGGTTTCACCATGTTGGTCAGGCTGATCTCGAAGTCCTGACCTTGTGATCCGCCCGCCTCAGCCTCCCAAAGTGCTGGGAGTACAGGTGTGAGCCCCGCGCTCGGCCTGAATCATTAATTTTGAACTGATTGTAGATTGTGGGCAGAAAAGTTCAGAAGCAGCAGAGACAGGTTGACGCACCTGCCGCACGTGCAGCCTCCTCCGAATGTGCCTTAGCAGCCGTGGCGGTGACGAGACGCTGCCGTGCGTCCGGGCTGTGGCGGCCCTCCTGCGCCCTGTCTCCTGGCTGAGAGCTTCTGGGCAGTGTCGGTCAGCAGTGTGGTCAGCGGCCCCAGGCCTGGCCTGTGATGGTGGTTCTTAGGCAGGAGCCCACAGGCGTGAGGCGGGGCCTTTTGCTCCTGGTGTCCTAGGTGACGTGACCTGGAGGTCTGATCAGGCCCGTCCGCCGTGAGTCGCGGACTCTCCCTCTGTGGTGAGTGTGTGTCTTGGAAGAGACGCAGAGGCCGTGTAAACCTGTTTCTCTCAGCACATTGTGCGCATTGCTGTCCACAGCTCTTGTCTGCCGCAGTCACTCCTGTGGTGCTGGGCCTGTCTCCCTTTCCTGTGTTTGCTAACTGGAGCTCTGCTGTCAGGAGGAGCCGCCCCTTCCGCCTGCAGGTGCCCAGCGTCGCCAGCATTCGTCTCGTGCCATGTGTTGCCCCAGCCTTGGCTGTCAGAAGCTCCTCCTTGTCTCCCTCTTGTGCGTCTACGTGCCCATCTGCCCCATGCGCTCCTGTTTCTGACCGGCCCCTCAATGTTCCAGCTGGTGTTGGCCACCCCTCTCTGCCCCACCAGTCCCATGTGGGTCCACCTGTGGGGAGTGGTGGCCCTGGCACAGCTGCTGTGGCCACCTGAGCACACGACCGTGCTTTCTGGGTTGGCTTTGGAAACCTGACTCCCTGTGGGCCCGAGGTCTCCCCTGCACCGTGGGGCTCAGCCTGGCTCCCCACTTGTGTGTGGCCCTTGTATCTCCAAGAGTGCGAGGCCTCGTCCTGAGGGTCTCTGCTGTCTTTACTTCCGTGTTCACTTCCGGTGTGCGTGTCGTTTCAGAACGGCTGGCCCACCCCGTGAGAACCCTTCCACTGGTGGGAGTGCAGTGCCTGTGCTTCCAGCCCACAGCCCTGCAGCCCCCCCATGGCGACCTGGGCCAGTGCGCTTCCCTCCCCCGAGCCACTGCAAGACCACAGGCTCGGTTGTCAGCCTTCATATTCCACTGTGCACGTTACACCCTGGTTGAAAAGCTGATCTGGGATGCATGGGCCCTCCCTGTGAACACAGGAAGCTCAGCCTACCCCCAGCCCACTCCTGCTGTCTCTCTGTATCTCCTTTGCACAGTTGGGTGCTCATGCCTGTGTTTTAGGCCTTCCTTGGCACACGATGGCCCACAGATGCTGTCCTGCGCCTCTCCCTGCACTCTTATTTCCTCACCACATGGTGCTGTGCTGGGCGCTGTGGAGGTGTCCGCTCCCCCGTGTCCAGCACATAGGTGGTTTCTAGAAAGCTTCCTGGTGTATCTGTGTTGCCGGGACTGGAGGAGGTCTCCAGGGCAGGCTCCTAGGAGTGGGGAGGCTGAGTCCGGACCCCGATGAACTCCAGACTGTTCTTCGTGCAGTTCCACGGCCCCAGCCGACCCCCCACTCACCTTTTGCCTGCAGATCGCACCCCCTCCCTCCCTGGCGGAGCCCCTGAAGGAGCTGTTCAGGCAGCAGGAGGCAGTCCGGGGAAAGCTGCGTCTGCAGCACAGCATCGAGCGGGTAAGTGGGCTGGCACAGGCAGGGGCGCCATGGCCAGGGCGCTCATGATGCAGGCCCCGGGGCTGTTGTGTTGAGACAGTGGGGCCTGGGGCGTGACTGTGTCCCAGCTCACTCCACTCCTCTCCTCCTCCAGGAGAAGCTGATCGTGTCCTGTGAGCAGGAGATTCTGCGGGTTCACTGCCGGGCGGCCAGGACCATCGCCAACCAGGCAGTGCCATTCAGTGCCTGCACAATGCTGCTGGACTCCGAGGTCTACAACATGCCCCTGGAGAGCCAGGTAGGCCCCCTCGGCATGCCAGGCCCACAAGTTCAAGCGCCCCCACCCCACTCCTGCCCCTTTCCCCTCCCCTTTGTAGATTCTTCTGCACTTTGACCAGGAACTTCCCTGGCGCTCAGCGCCTTGCAGGGGCTGCAGAGTCCTTTGTACGCCTCTAGCCTTGGCGAGCCTGAGAAAGGAGCTGAGAAGGCTGGAGCAGACAGCTGCCCTCATGGGCAAGGCCCTCGGGCCACTGGGCTGGGCCTCAGCAGCTCAGTCCCTCTGCAACACTTGTCCATGCAGTTCCTCAGCTGCCCCTACCTACCTCTCACGGGTGTCAGGGCTGGCATTATTTTCTGTTTAAACTGCTGGGCTCGACCTGCAGCTCTCAGGCACCCCGGGGCCGCCACATGGAGGGCTTTCACAGCACAGGCCCCAGGGGCTCTTGTACGGGGACAGCAGGGACACTGGGTGGCTAAGGGGACACACGCACCCAGGTGTGCCGCTCATCTGGGCCAGGGTGGGCCGGACTCAGGGTCCCAGAACTGCAGTCACTATCCTGCCCATCTGTTGTGGGGCTCCCGCCCGCCCCTGCAGCTCCCCTGCCTTTGACCTGTTCTGTCCACTGGGACATAGGATGTGGTAGCCAGGGCCTTGTAGCTCTCCCCAGGGTAGCTCTTCCTGTCTGCCTTCAAGCGGCCCACATGCCGGGGACTCCTGTCTCAGAAATCATCCTCCAGCCACCACTGACCTTCCATGTGGGCCACGTGGACCCCTGGTTCTCCCATTGCCTGCTCTGCATCGGCCCCTCCCTCTTCCTCAGAGCCCACTGTGCTCAGGTCATGGGCTCCCTGGGCCCCAGGCCCCATATCCTGTGCAGTGGGACGTGCCTGGAACACATTCCCGCCTCGATGTCCAGGCTGTGCACCAAGACCCCTCATATGTGGCCCCCCGTGACGCCACCCCGGCCCTGGCACTCTGAGCTGTGCACTTGGCTTTGCTGTGTAGTGACGGCCAGAGGCTCCAAGGTGCTTAGTTGAAAACATCTCTTAGTGCATTCAAGATCTTCCTTTCTTTGGGGATGTATTTCATCAATGTCCCTCATGCACACAGTGACAAATTTTTTTTTCTTTGTGTGTGTGTGAGATGCAGTCTCGCTCTATCGCCAGGCTGGAGTGCAGTGGCACGATCTCAGTCACGGCAACCTCTGGGTCTCGGGTTTGAGCGATTCTCCTGCCTCAGCCTCCCGAGTGGCTGGGATTACAGGCGTGCGCCACCACGCCCGGCTGGTTTTTGTGTTTTTAGTAGAGACAGGGCGTTACCATGTCCAGGATGGTCTCGATCTCTTGACCTCATGATCCGCCCGCCTCGGCCTCCCAAAGTGCGGGAGTTACAGTCGTGAGGCACCTCGCCCGGCTGACGAATTTTCTTTAAAGAAAACGTGAGTTGGACCAAATGATGCTTCGGGGGCTGGATGCTGATAAGTTTGCGTTCTCGTACCCCACTTGAGAGTCCGTGAAGGACAGGCAGTTGGGACAGCTCCGTAGAGAGCAAACACGAGGAGGACCAGCTTGTGCCTCTCACTTCCCAGGAAGCATTTCTTCCCCCTTTGTTTCTCGAATGGGGTGTCCGTCCCCTCAAGCATTTAGCCCTTGAGTTACAAACAATCCAGTTAACACTCTTTATTTTAAAATAGACAATGCAATTAACTGTTGACCATAGTCACCCTGTTGTGCTGTCAAATAGTAGGTCTTATTTTTTTTTGGTACCCATTAACCATTTCTACCTCCCTGCCAGCCCCCCACAACCCTTCCCAGCCTCTGGTGACCGTCTTTCTATTCTCTGTGTCCACGAGTTCAATTGTTCTGATTTTTAGATCCCACAAGTAAGTGAGAACATGTGATGTTTGTCTTTTTATGCTTATTTCACTTAACATAATGACCTCCCGTTCCATCCATGTTGTTGCAAATGACAGGATCTCATTCTTCTTTGTGGCTGAATAGTACTCCATTGTGTGTGTGCCACGCTTTCTTGACCCATTCATCTGTTGATGGACACAAGCCTTAGCTATAGTAAACGGAGTTGCATTAAATATGGAAGTGCAGATACCGTTTCAATATACTGATTCCTTTCCTTTTTTTGATTCTGAGTCTTCCTCTGTCGCCCAGGCTAGAGTGCAGTGGCACAGTCTCAGCTCACTGCAGCCACCGCCTCCCGGGTTTGATTCTCCTGCCTCGGCTTCCTGAGTAGCTGGGATTACAGGCGTGAGCCACCACGCCTGGCCCCCGATTCCTTTCTTTTGGGTCTGTACCCAGCAGTGGGATTGCTGGATCCTATGGTAGCTCTATTTTTAGTTTTTTGAGGAACCGCCAAACTGTTCTCCATAGTGGCCGTACTAATTTACGTTCCCACCAACGGGGTACGAGGGTCCCCTTTTCCCCACGTCCTCGCCAGCGTCTGTGATTGCCTGTCTTTTGGATAAAAGCCATTTTAACTGGGGTGATACCTCATTGTAGTTTTCATTTGCATTTCTCTTATGAGCATTGATGTTGCCTTTTCAGATGCCTGTTTGCCATTTGTGTGTCTTCTTTTGAGAAATGTCTATTCAGATCTTTTACCCATTTTTTGATGGGATTATTAGATTTTTTTCGTATCGAGTTAATTGCCTTATATGTTCTGGTTCTGAATCCATGTCAGGGTGAGCGGTTTGCAAGCATTTCCTCCCATTCTGTTGGGTGTCTTTTCACCTTGGTGACTGTGTCCTTTGCTGTGCAGAAGATTTTTAACTTGATGTGATCCCATTTGTCCATTTTTACTTTGGTTGCCTGTGCGTGAGGGTATTACTTGAGAAATGTTTGCCCAGGCCAATGTCCTGGAGATTTTCCCCAGTGTTTTCTTGTAGTAGTTTCATAGTTTGAGGTCTTGGATTCCAGACTTTAATCCATTTGGGGTTTGATGTTTGCATGTGGTGAGAGCTAGGGGTCTCGTTTCACTGCTCTGCGACGCGTAGCCAGTTTTCCCAGCACCATTTACGGAGGAGACTGTCCTTTCCCTGTGACTGTTATTCTGTTCTTGGCACCTTTGTGGAAAGTGAGTTCCCTGCAGGTGTGTGGGTTTATGTGGGCATTGTCAGCTTCACCCTGAGCCCATGAAAAAGGGGAGGAGCCTGGACATTTTATCCGTGTCCCATCCAGGACACAGGGACGATGACATGCCTAGAAAGTCCCTCCCAGGATAAACCCCATCTCTACTAAAAATATAAAATTAGCCGGGTGTGGTGGTGGGCACCTATAATCCCAGCTACTGAGGAGGCTGAAGCAGGAGAATCGCTTGAACCCGGGAGGTGGAGGTTGCGGTGAGCCGAGATCATGCCACTGCACTCCAGCCTGGGCAACGAGCGAAACTCCGTCTCTTAAAGTATCTCCCAGGAGTTGGCACCGGGCTGAGCTGACTGTCCCATGGGGGCAGGGCTGGGGACCAGCTCGGGCAGGGCCTGCGGCCACCCAGTGCCCAGGAGACAAAGGCTCAGCCACCTCCACGTGCATTTTAGAGAAGCTGTTTAGAGAGATGGGCAGGGTGGCACCTGCCATGCCTTGAACGTGAGTCAGTGTGTGGTCAGTGGAATGAGGCTGCCCCTTTGGTTTTTCCCTTGAGAAAGCTCACTGTAGCATCGCTCAGGCTGGCACGCCTTCCCATAGCGGTCTCTGGGTTTCCTGATGAAATCCCGTGTTTGGTTTCCACAGGGTGACGAGAACAAGTCAGTGCGTGACCGTTTCAACGCCCGCCAGTTCATCTCCTGGCTCCAGGACGTGGACGACAAGTACGACCGCATGAAGGTTGGTGTTGCGCTTCCCGCCCAGCTCTGCCTGGGCACTCCAGCTGCCTCTGGGGCCAAGGGAGGCTGCTGCCTAGTTCTGTGATGGGCGGTGACAATTTCAGATTCTCTTAACCTGGCTGATGCTTTCAGGGAGGTGAGGTCCTGTCGCTGTGTGTGGCCTCCTCAGTCCTCCCTTCTGTCCCGGTATGCAGGCAGCAGCTCCTGTCGCCAGCTGAACAGGACCCTAGGCTTGATGGTCAGAACTCCTGGGACCGCCCCGTGAGCCCCCTCTAAGGTCCCAGCATTCACCCTCCACTGCTCTGGAAGTGCTGGCCAGGGCAGTGGGCAGAGGCAGGGTAGGTGCCAGGAAGGGCAGCACACCCTCAGTCCCAGTCGCTAGGGCTGTTCACCCGGACACCCTGGAGGATCCACCAGGAAGCAACGGAAAGCGGAAACTTGCCAAGTGACAGAGCTTTAAAGTCAGTGTCACCCTGTGCAGTCGCCAGCCATGCCCGGGAGCAGGCGGCTCTGACTACCTGCAGTATCAGGCTCAGCACCACCCAGGTCCCTGAACCAAGCACCCATGTGTCATGCTGTAGCTTGTGGGCGCAGATGAGAACCACCAGCCCTACCTGGTGGGAGCCACGGGTATTTGCGGGACGTGGCCCCTGGGGGCTTGTGCTGAGGCAGAAACTCAGGTCTGAGCTGTAACTGAGTGTGCATTTCCGGCCAGCCCCAAGGTGGTGGTGCAGGAAGTCACTCACGCCACACCCTCCCCAGGCCACTAGGCCCTTCCTAACCAAAGCTGTGAGAAGAAAACTGAAGGCTTCATAAAGACACAAGGAAGACTCTCCTGTAAGAAGATAAATGTTTGACTGCATTAAAATGGGACTTTGGGCCGGGTACGGGTGCCTCACACCTGTAATCCCAGCACTTTGGGAGGCCAAGGCGGGCGGATCACCTGAGGTCAGCCTGGCCAGCATGGTGAAACCCCATCTCCACTAAAAATACAAAATTAGCCGGGCGTGGTGGCACATGCCTGTAATCCCAGCTACTTGGGAGGCTGAGGCAGGAGAATCGCTTGAACCAGGGAGGTGGAGGTTGCTGTGAGCCAAGATCACGTCATTGCACTCCAGCCTGGGCAACAAGAGTGAAACTCTGTCTTTTAAAAAAAAAAAAAAAAATTGGGACTTTGTACATACATTAAAAATGCCACATAGGGTTAGCACCATCCGTGCAGATAGAACCCTTACAAACTAATATGAAAATGGTACACAGAAAAATAATTTATATAAAGACACATTCCACAAAGGAGATAAAATGACCAACCTTCATGAAAAGATACTCACTATAATCATTAACATGAGGACCACAGATGAAGCAAGATCTCATTTAAAGGTCATCTGCAGGGTTGGGAGGCGGTATCACTGCAGTATTGGGAGAAGCGTCAATTAGTAGATTTTTATTAAGTAAACTGACCATATCTATCAAATTTCAAAATGCGTTTACCACCTCACCTAGCTATTTCACTTTAGTCATTTTAAAACTTAGGGATACGGCTAGGCACAGTGGCTCACACCTGTAATCCCAGCACTGTGGGAGGCCGAGGCGGGCAGATTACCTGAGGTCAGGAGTTTGAGACCAGCCTGGCCAACATGGTGAAACTTTATCTCTACTAAATACTAAAAATACAAAAGTTAGCCAGGCGTGGTGGTGCGTGCCTGTAATTCTGGGAGACTGAGGCATGAGAATCATTTGAACCCTGGAGACGGAGGTTGCAGTGAGCCAAGATTGTACCACCGCACTCCAGCCTGCGTGACAAAATTATTTAAAAACCTTAGGGATGGCCGGGCACGGTGGCTCAAGCCTGTAATCCCAGCACTTTGGGAGGCCGAGACGGGCGGATCATGAGGTCAGGAGATCGAGACCATCCTGGCTAACACGGTGAAACCCCGTCTCTACTAAAAAATACAAAAAACTAGCCGGGCGAGGTGGCTGGCGCCTGTAGTCCCAGCTACTCGGGAGGCTCAGGCAGGAGAAGGGCGGGAACCCGGGAGGCGGAGCTCACAGTGAGCCGAGATCCGGCCACTGCACTCCAGTCTGGGCGACAGAGCGAGACTCCGTCTCAAAAAAAAAAAAAAAAACCTTAGGGATATGTATAAAAATATTCACTGGAACAGTCCAATACACCGGAAACTCGGAGGCCCATCAATAATTCAGTGACTCACTGGAGTTTGGAACATCCAAAGGGTTACGTGATTCCATGTAATGATTTACACTGGCAATGATGTCTGAGCTGCCGAATAAAAGCTCTACGGCCCACTGAGGATTGTGAATCCATCCTGAGCTTCAAAAGCAATTTAGCATATATATAAATATGTTGAGAAAAATTTAGAGACAGACATTACCACACTGGGGCTGGCCAACATTGCAAAACCCCATGTCTACAAAAATTAGCCGGGCACGGTAGCACTTGTAGTCCCAACTACTCGCGAGGTTGAGGAGGGAGGATCCGGAGGTCAAGGCTGCTGTGAGTCATGATGGGGAGCACCACTGCTCCCCAGCCTTGAGACCCTATCTAAAAAAAGATTTTCTACACAGTTGCTGTGACATACCAGTACTCCCTGGGCCATGTTTAAATTTCTCCATTAGTTCCCAAAATATGTCCTATCCCAGTCCAGTCCCGTTATGTGCACTTTTAAATGGCATAGTTTCTACTAGAATACAAGTAAGACTATCACTGGCCATAAATAATTGTAAAATGATGAAAGCAAAGCTGTTAGATTCTAATAAGCTGCAGTGGCTGCTGGAGGTGAGCCCCAGGCCGACCCAGAGCAGGGCAGGGCCCTCGGGCCGAGATGGGGGTGCCACAGACAGCACTCTTGGGAACAGACATCCAGCACAGCTGGCGCTGCCGCCCCGTGTGATAACTAGACACCAGGGGCGGGTACAGCTGGTCCTGAGTATGTGCCCCCTGCCAGCAGCACCACAGCAAGCAGAGGGTTCCAGGGGGCCTGGCCCATACCAGGATAGGTTCACAGCCCTGTCACGCCCTCGGCCCTGCTGGCAGCTGAGGTCGGCAGAGTCTGGGGCTCTCGCTTCACGCTTCCTCCTCCTCCTCCCCCCCCCCCCCCCCCCCCCACTGTGTGTCCCACAGACATGCCTCCTCATGCGGCAGCAGCACGAGGCCGCGGCCCTGAACGCTGTGCAGAGGATGGAGTGGCAGCTGAAGGTGCAGGAGCTGGACCCCGCCGGGCACAAGTCCCTGTGCGTGAACGAGGTGCCCTCCTTCTACGTGCCCATGGTCGACGTCAACGACGACTTTGTGTTGTTGCCGGCGTGACACCGCGGGATGGCCACAGGACGCAGGCGAGGGCCGCACGGCTGCCCAGGGCTGCTGCTAAGCCCCAGGGGCAGAGGAGGGAGCGCCATGTCCACCCGGGCGGGGAGAGACCCCGAGAGAGACTGCACTTGGCCACAGCGTCTCCATCCCTTCCAGACTGGTCCAGACGTCGGGGAGGTGAAACACGGCTCTTCTCTACCAGCTGCCGCGGTGGGGGCAAAGCCCCCAGAGCCTCACTGGCCCCGGCGGGACGAGGAGATCATGCCGGGCGCACACACGGCAGCTTCTGTCTGAAAACGGTGACCTTCGGGCCCTTTTCTCCAGCAACTGCAGAGGCATTTCAGGAGTTGGAGAGCGGAGTGCATTTTTTAAATTTTTTGTTCCATTCTGATCAACTAAAGAAAATTAAGGTGTCCACCTCTCACAAACAGTGACCTCCAGGTCAGAGGGGCAGGAGCCCCATCCCAGCCATGGTCCTGTTGCCACAGAGCTGCGACGGCCTCAGACTGGGCATAAGACCTGGTGCGGAGCCAGGCGGAGGGACACAGAGCCAGGACTCCCAGGCGTATTTTTAATGGAGTCAAATCCACGTGGTTTGTATCTTCTTTCCTTTAATCTTGGGCATTTTGTTTCTCTTTCTGAGAACATAACTTGAAACACTACAGAGCCAATAATCATATAAAAAGTGTATCCGTAAACGCTGTACAGTTTTATATACATTCACAATGTACTTTTGCTGCCTTCTAGATAATTTATTTTGCAACACATTACTGCACAGTTGTAAATAACTTATGTACTGTAACATCACTTTCAGTTATGTGTAAAGAAATAAATAAATTAATTAAAATGCTGTTTGTATAGTGCCTCCCTCTCGGGAGAGGGGCTGTGTGGGACTGAGACAGTGTCGTCCCTCTCAATGACCTTCTTAGTCCCAGGACAGATGTGGGTCATGCCTGTAATCCCAGCATTGTGGGAGGCGGGGGTCTGAGACCAGCCTGGCCAACATGGCAAAATCCCATCTCTACTAAAAAATACAAAAATTAGCTGGGTGTGGTGGCAGGCGCCTATAGTCCCGGCTACTCCAGAGGCTGAGGCAGGAGAATCATTTGAACCCAGGAGGTGGAGGCTGCAGTGAGCCGAGATCGTGCCACTGTACTCCATAGGCAGGCTGTGTCTGGGGGGGAAAAAAAAAATTCCTACCAAATTGTTAGCTTTTAATTTTGAAACAAATTACATGTTCCCCTCCTCCTCCGCCATTACACAGACTGGGAATGCTGGAAAATTAGGTGAAGGCAGCTCCTCGGGGACAGGACCCCGTTCCTCACCGCTGAGTACAGGTGCTTCTCCTGCACTCGAGTGGACAGGCTCAGGGGAGCTTTATCTTGCTGCAGGGCGGTGCAGGAAAGTAGAAGGGGCCAGCCCTGGGCCATCTGTCCCACAGGGCCTGTGAGAAGTTGGAGACAAACAGGAGCATCACTCCTCACGGATCTGAGCAGTGCAGCTGTGGACAGACCCTGTGCCAGCTGCGGACGCCCCTGAGCTTCAGCTTGTGGCGGGCTGGCTTGTGCCACTGCCCACAGTTCCCTGGCAGCTGCAGCTGGTGAGGGTCCCCGCTTCGAGAGCCCCGTCCTGGCTGGAAGGCAGCCCGGGCAAGCATGGAGATGCGAGGCCTCCCCTCAGAGGGTGCTGCTCTCTGCTGGGTCTTGGCACAGAGGATGCCTGCCAGGGCCCTCCAGCTAGTGTGGCTCCAGGAGACTGTTGGTCCCCGGCGTGACGGGAGGGTGAGTTGAGGGAGCCGCCTCACCCTTTTCCTTCTGAGCTCTGTCTCCCCTGTACCTGGGGGCTGGGAAAGGAGTGGCAGCTGCAGAGGCAACCCCCACAGAGAGCAGAGACCACCTGTGCATCAGAATCAATAGGGGTCCTGGTCACTGGGTCCCCTGCAGAGGAACCTGACCTAGGAGGGTCCCTGAACCCTGCCAGGCTGAGCCGCTGGCGGGGGCTGTGCCTTCGTTCCCCCCAAGGTCCCTGTGAGCTCGCTCGCCGGCTGGGCCCCTGCATGGGGTTGGGGGTGGGCGTGGGTCGTGCCTCTCTCCTGTCTTCCATCTGCACAAAGCTCTTGTGGGTTCCCTCCTGTTCCCTTCAGGGCTCAGCCTGGGTAAAGGCAGCTGGTCCACCTCATGTGTGGGCTTGGGGTGAGGGTGTGAAGCCAGAAGGTTCCAGTATATTTTTCTGGGTTCGGATTAGCTGTGGTTTGTTGTGGGGGTTTTGGGGGGTTTTGTTTGTTTTTGAGATGGAGTCTTGCTCTGTCCCCCAGGCTGGATGGGGTACCATAGCGCGATCTCGGCTCACTACAGCCTCCACCTCCTGGGTTCATGCAGTTCTGCTGCCTCAGCCTCCCGCGTAGCTGGGATTACAGGCGCTCGCCACCACGCCTGGCTAGTTTTTGTATTTTTAGTAGAGATGGTTTCACCATCGTGGCCAGGTTTTTTGTTTTCTTCGCCCACCCCCACCCCCAACCCACCCCCATCACAGAACTTTGGTCACAGACTTCCTTTAAGCTTTAAAAGAAAAACCTGAGTCAGTCTGTGCCACACAGAGCACGCTGCAGTTCCAGCCCACCGTGGTGACGACGTCCCGGCCACCGTGCTGTGCCTCCGTCTCGGGTGCCCACGAGGGGCGTCAGGCACGTGCAGCTCCCTGCCGGCTCCCACCTGGTCTGCTGGAGTATCGACTCGTACCTGCCGGAGATGCCACGCGCGGTGCCCATACAGCCTCCTGCCGCAGGGGCCAGAGACAGCCTGCCGTCCCTCAGAGAGAAGATTTGTGAATCAACACTGAGAAACGTCAGAGTACCCAGAGCCTGCGTGCCAGCCTGGAGACCCTGCTGCCCGGGGCCACCCATGTGGGCACCAGACCACCCTCGGGAGGCTCTGGCTGGAGCTGGAGGAAGATGGCGTAACCCCACCCACTCACCTACATCCATGGACCCCAGCACTACCCAGCTCCTGCCTGGAACCCGGCTCTGGAGCAGGCTGGCTCTGACTGCCTTGCTGGTGAGAGGGTCCACGCCCTGAAACTCAAGCCTTCCCGATCCCTTCTCTTCCAGAGGCCTCGGGACCCCCGTTAGCACCAAAACCAAAGCACAGAGCAAGTGAGTGTCCGACCCCGGGCACTCCAGGGAAGCCGGCGCCCCTCCCCGGCACAGGGTCCCCTCTCGGGAAGCCGACGCCCCTCCCCGGCACAGGGTCCCCTCTCGGGAAGCCGACGCCCCTCCCTGGCACAGGGTCCCCTCTCGGGAAGCCGACGCCTCTCCCTGGCACAGGGTCCCCTCTCAGGGAAGCTGACACCTTGCCAAGGGGTAGGAACTCAGGCTTCAACAGAGAAAGGAAAGAAATATGGTGTTTTTTTTTTTCCGCTGCAAAAGAGAAGCTGGTGGCTTTTGTAAAACCTGGAAGGAGGGGAGAGGTTTTCATGGAAAGCCCATGAGCCGCCAGCCCCCTGCATAGAGTGCGCCTGCTCTGCCCAGGCGACCGTGCAGCGTCTCCATCCGGGGGTCTCCATTTCCAAGTGGCAGCTGGGCCTGAGCCTGGCAGGAGGGGAAGGATCCCAGCACGTGGAGACGAGCCGCACGCAGCCTCCACCTCCCCCCACACCAGGGAGCTGCTTTGCTCCTTCCCGTTGGGGGACAGCAAAGACAGTCCCACAGGAGAGTGGAAAGAACTGGGCCCAGCTTGCCTCTGCTGGAAAGCAGAATGAAATACTGAAGCGAGAGAGAAGGACCCACAGGCAGTGAGAAGGCAGCTGTGGTATCGGCGAGAGCTCAGGGACGGGGTGCGAGCTGCACACCAGAGCTGGGGGAGTGAGGTGGTATAAACCCGACGGCCCCATTACTGGGCACAGAACGTCACTCACATCTGAAATTACCCGTGACAGATAAACTGGAAACTCCCAGCTGCTCGGGAGGCCGCCCCAGGAGGGTCACGTGAGTCCAGGAGCTCAAGGCCATCGCGCGCCATGAGTGAGCCTGTCGACAGCCACTGCCCTCCTGCCTGGGCAGCTCAGCAAGACCCTGTCTTTAAAACCAAAAATCAGGCTGGGTGTGGTATTTCACACCTACAATCACAACGGGAAGCCAGGGCCGGAGGATGCTTGAGTCCAGGAGTTCACGTCCAGCCTGGACAACATAAGACCCCATCTCAACAACAAAATACAGGTGGCGGCGTCTGTGGTCCCAGCTACTCGGGAGGCTGAGT